ACTCCAGTGAGCTAAGGTGAGAAAGAAGGCAGGAGAAGAGGTTGGAGAAGGGAAGGCAGGGTGACTAAAGGCTATTGGGACAGAGACAGCACTGGGCTCGTGGCGGGAGGATGGAGGGAAGGACAGTGGCATGAAGGGAGAAGCAATGATTTCACAGAAAGGAGCAGGCTGGAAACTGAGAAGTCTGTGGGGAAGTGAGGCCAAAGTGAGTGTGAGGGCCTCAGGGAGCTTCCTGCAGTAGAGTTACCCAGTGTGGGGGTGGATGAGAGGAAGGCTTTATGAGGGAAATGGGGAAGCCGAGCCAAAGAAGGGTGGTGGGGCTGGGAGGTGAGACACAGGGCTGGTGCCTGTTGCCATGGTGTGAGCTGAGGCCCTGGGCCTCCATCCAGGATTTAGGATCTGGCCCAGTGGTGGACGGTGACTGCCAAGTGGACACAGTAAGCTTCTTGGGTGGGTTTTACTGTGTCTCAGAGAAGGAGGATGGGGGTGGGGATTGGTAAACAAGTTGGAAAGCTCTTAGAAGACAACTTTGCATGGTGATCAAAGCCGTGGACATTTTCACACCTGCCTGCCTCAGAGTTAGGAAGAAGTATTATAGGCATTGGAGTTTTGGAAATGGGGACAGGCTGCCTTGAAACAGAGGTAGGGGAGCATGGAGGGTGGCTCAGCAATTAAATTCCCTAAAAGTAGCCAATGATGCCTATTGGTTCACCCTCATACTTGCGAGAGCACAGCAGGTAGAGCTTTCGGCTGCTGAGGGTGCTATTGTAGTGGCAGCTGGTAGGTGGCTGTTCGAGTGCCAGGGTGCAGATTGTGAGCGGGAAGGCTTTCTGGGTGAGGGTGCAGTATTCATTGTAGTTTTCGCAGAAGCTCTCACTGTGCTTACAGGTCTTCGCAATGGTATGCCAAGGTGTATGTACCACGTAGTGGATCACTGGGCAATGCTCGCTTTGCTTCCTGCCCCGCACATAGGCCATCAGACCATTACAGTAGCCCAGGAAACCTTCTGGATAGCTGACCCTGGGGTAGTCTATGTGTAAAGTGCGGAAGTTGTGGATGAAAATCTGCTCCTTCATGTCCTCCGCCAAGATTGGCCCCCAAACCAGCTGGAAGACAAGGATCTGGGCCAGCACTGGTGCCATTCCTCCTGCTGGTAGAGTTAAGGTGGTTGGAGGCAGGGGTGAGCCTAGAGTGGCTGTCTGTCCCTTCCCAGAACCTTTAGCATTCCCCAACCTTCCTTGTGTACCTTCCCTACCCTCTAGGACGGTACCTCAAAAGTTGTCCCACCCAAGTCCTCATGACCCAGAAAGAGGAGCTGCTTGCCCAAGGCCACCCGGCTAATCAGCTGCCTTCAGCCATCCCTCCATTCCCTTGGACCACCACAGGGTTTCAGCCTCACCCAGTCCAGGAGCTGCCACACTTGCAGGATAAATGCTCACTGGTCCTCCAGTGAGAGGCTTTTCCCAATTATCCTTGGCCTTGGCACCTTTTCTAATAAACAATTCAGCGAGTATAGAAGGAACAGGCTGGCCTGGTAATTCCCCAAAGGCTGGGAGGAAGGATAGGAGCTGAAGACCGCTGGGTGGGTGCTGGGGTTCTTCTTGCCTGATGTCAAGGAAAGCCCAGCAGTGAGAAGAGGCCAGAAGGGTTTCTGGGTAAAGACCAGTGGGGGAGGAGGGCGTTCCCCCTGGGGTGCTGAGGACCCCCTGTGCTGAGGGGATTGGATGGGTGGGAGGAAAGAGACATTGCTGTTGGGTCTCTTCCCCTCTGGTGTCATCAGAACACTTAGTTCCAACCTCCTTGCCAGAAGTCCCTAAGTTCCTGGGCTGGCTTTGATGTTTTCTCTAGCCCGTAGCGTTTCCCCTGTGGCAAAGTGAGAAGGAAAGGACCGTGGTGTTTCTGAAGAACAAAGTGCTTATTATTCCTGACTCTTGGAGAACAGAGGGTCCATCACTCTCGTCCCACACATGGGAGCCCAGCAGGCCACGAACATAGAGGCCTCCCACCAAAGTGCCGAGCTGAGAATCAAAGGCCTCCACGTGGACTCCCCACAGTCCCTGTCATCAGCCTCACTCCTGTCACACCGACACCCCTCACCTGTGATCTTAGGCCCTGTCAGAGTCCATGCGGTCCTGGAAATTTGTTCATGCTGACTCTGAAAGCTCCAAGTTGGCAGGTTGGGCTTGACACCAAAACCCTGACTTGAGGGGACGTGGTCCCCAGAGCCTATCCGGCCTCCTAACATCTGCCCCTGCATCAGAACCCGAGAGCGTGCTGGCTGGAGCCCACCAGTCCCAGCCCTTGACTGCCACAGACTTCTCAGCCTTGTCTCCCTGCAGGCTGCTTCCCGGACCTGGGGCTTCCTCTTAGGACAGCCTTTTCACCCTTGCCCTGGAGAACCGGAGAGGGGAGTCAGAACGTACAGAGGGAAGTGCACCAGGGCCCTTAGTATGGCTCAGGAGGAAGAAGGGGCGAGGCTGCAGAGAGACGCGATGTTCTTCATTCCAGCCCTATAAACTGGCACTTTTTGACAGCACAGACCAGAGTCCCAAACTGAATCCATCTTCCCTACAACTTGCTTGTCTTCCTGTGTTATCTGTCTCCATTTCCTCAGGGACCTATGCAAGAAACCTTGGCCTTGGCACCTTTTCTAATAAACAATTCCGAGAGTATAGAAGGAACAGGCTGGCCTGGTAATTCTCCAAAGGCTGAGAGGAAGGACAGGAGCCAAAGACCGCTGGGTGGGTACAGGAGTAATCTAGACCCCTCTGCCTCTCTAACCCCAACTACTGGGGAGCTTTCCTGCATGGTGGTTAAGATGGAGGCTCCCGAGTGAAAGCTGCATCCACCAGTCTAAGTTTTCCAAACCACTTCCACTTCTTCATCTGTTCATGAGGACAGTATTTCATACCTCATGGTGGTGTAAAGTTTTATTAAGATGTATTTTATTAGCACAGTGCCTGGCATGTAGTGAATACTCAGTATGATGTGAGTATAGCCATCATGCAGCCTTGACACTCTTATGTACAACTTTTCCTAAGTCTTCTCCTGCTCAGGCTATTTTCTCTCCTGAGCATCATGTTTTCCAACTCCAGTAAGGCTCAGCTCAAATCTCTTTTATGTAGCTGCCAGAGAAAAAA